AGTCAGCATTTAACTGTAGTTAAGTAGAACGGCCATATATCTTTAAGAGCAGTTGTCCCTGGGAATTGAAGTCTTTAGGTAGGCATCCCAAAGCATCCCTGTGACTGGCTGATTAACAGTCATTTCCTGCATTCAGAGGCGTGAGGATTTGAGTTTACAGCTCTCTTCCCATTTCTTTGTCTACTCTTTAAACGGCAAGGAGGTGGGAGCACGCAATCTTTTTCGCCATGAGCCAGTGAACTGAATTAGATTACAAAGATGTGAATTTCACCAGTTATTTAGCTTTGATTGTGAGTAAAGAAATCTTCTGAATGCATGTGGAGCTTAATAAAAAATGATTTAATTCTACTTTACTCTGGCCGTGCGTTGAATCACGTCCAGAAGGCACTGTTGACTCTTGACTTAGCGCCAGACGGAACATGCCCCACTGGACTCAGTTCTGCCGCTTCAGACCAACATGGTTGCCCACCTGGATTCTGACGGGTCAAAGGTTATCCAGCAAGCCTTCATGGCACAGTAGGCATTGAGACCCGGGTCTCCCGGATCCTATTTTGACAGGAGGAGAGTGAGAGGAAAGGGGATTCGAAACTGGGTCTCCCAGGTCCTGGTTCAATAGGAAGGCAGTGAAAGGAAAAAAAGAAATGAAAAATTGCTGTCTTGACAGGTGGAGTCTGGCACAAAGTCAACTTGGACTGAGGAGTTATTTGGCTTTTCACATAATAGTAAGAGAATCTTCTGTGATGGAAATATTGCTGATTTGTCCCTGGGCCTCTGGGATTTGGGTATGAACAGGAGTTCAAGCAACTTCTGCTTGGGGTTCAGCTAGTCCCCTTTGGTGACTGGCTCTCTGCCTGTAGTAGGCATGATGGAGACACGGGGGCAGTTCTACCTGTTGGATTTCTGCCTGCCATGCAGCTGTGCCTTTGCCAAGGGTGGCAGCTCCCAGCTCTGCTGGGGCAGTGGCAGGTGACTTTGAACGGAAGACCCCGGCTCTGGGGATTCCATGGCAGTTGGGGGCTCGGAGGAAAGGCCTTCCAAGGCGTTTGGCCCCAGGTGAGGCTTTGCGTGCCGGGAACCACGAAGGCAGGGGCTGACCCTAGCAAATTAGAACTGTTCGAAGTTTTACCTGTAAAGAGCTTAAAATTGCAGTACTCATCTGTGGTTTTCCAGTTGCCTTCTTCAATGACACAATATGTGATCCATATCGATATCAGTATTAATATTGAATTAATATTGAAAATATAAAATACTTTGTGTTATGTAGCACTGAAGTTGAGAAGGCAACATAACTGGGATAAAACAAATAAAATGAATTTCAGTGGAGATAAATGTAAAGTTATGCATTTAGGAAAAGTCAAATGCATAATTATGGTTTGGGGGAGACTTGTCTTGGCAGTAGCAGGTGCGAAAAGGAGCTAGGGGTCTTAGTAGACCATACTCTGAACATGAGTCAGCAGTGTGATGCGGCTGCTAAAAAGGCAAATGTGATTTTGGGCTGTATCAACAGAAATATAATGTCAAGATCAGGCGAAGTGAGGGTTCCGCTTTACTCTGCTCTAGTTAGGCCTGCCTGGAGTATTGTGTTCAGTTTGGGGCGTGACAATTTAAGGAGGATATAGACAAGCTGGAACGTGTCCAGAGGAGGGCAACAAAGATGGTAAAGAGTCTGGAGACCAAGTCCTATGAGGAAAGGTTGAAGGAGCTGGGCATGTTGAGCCTGGAGAGGAGACGACTGAGAGGTGATATGATCACCCTCTTCAAGTACCTGAAGGGCTGCCATACGGAGGATGGAGCGGAGTTCTTTTCTGTTGCCCCAGAAGGTTGGACCAGAACCAACGGGCTGAAATTAAATCAGAAAAGTTTTCGGCTAAACATTAGGAAGAACTTCCTGACAGTAAGCGCGGTTCCTCAGTGGAACAGGCTTCCTCGGGGGGCGGTGGGCTCTCCTTCTCTGGAGGTTTTCAAGCGGAGACTAGATGGCCATCTGACAGCAATGTGGATCCTGAGAACTTGGGCAGATCGTGAGAAGGAGGGCAGGAAGGGTTGCCTCAGTGCTTAGTCCTCGTGGCCCTTGCTTACACACCCAGGGAAATGCCGATCACCATTCTGGGGTCAGGAAGCATTTTTTCCCCAGGCCAGTTTGCCCAGGGATCCTGGAGGTTTTTTTGTCTCCTTCTGGACATGGAACAGTGGTCACTGGGTGTGTGTGTGGGGGAGGGACTTCTGAATTCTCTGCCTTGTGCAGGGGGTTGGCCTAGAAGAAGAGAAGAGATTGGATTTATACCCCGCCCTTCCCTTGGAGTCTCAGAGCGGCTTACAAACTCCTTTCCCTTCCCCTCCCCACAACAGACACCCTGGGAGGTGGGTGGGGCTGAGAGAGCTCTGACAGAAACTGCTCTTTTTCAAGGACAGCTGTGCCAGAGCTTGTGACTGACCCAAGGTCACATCAGCAGGTGCAAGTGGAGGAGTGGGGACTCAAACCCGGTTCTCCCAGATTAGAGTCCTAGATGGCCCTGGAGACCCCTTCCAACGCTGTGATTCCGTCATCCTAAGCGGGTGCCTTCCTTCCCGACAGGAGAGGCAGGCCCCAATGGAGGGGTGCTGGGTCTCACCCTGCATCCCTTGGCTGGCTGGTTCTGTGTTGCCAGCTTGCGTCCGTGTCCAGGCTGCCTGCTCACTGCCAAGGGTGCCTTCTTTTCTCCTGGCAGGGCTCCTGCACTTAGGGCAGCCACATGACAGGCAGAAGTCCTGCTGAGCGAGCTCTTCTCAGCTTGCAGGGGCAGAGACAGGGAGGGCTTTGCCTCCTCCTGCCGGGCTGCCCTTCATGACCGTCTGTGGCTGGTGCCCTTGTGGCAGGCCTGGTGAAACGTCTCTCCCTGCATGGCTCTGCCTCCTTCCTTGAAAGAAGGGATGGGTTGTTTCAGGGCAGAGAGCATGCAAGCAAACACGAATGGTGGAATCCTCGATTCCGGAGTCACGTCCCGTAGAGTCTCCTTGCCTCCTGGGCCTAGGCTGGAACTTAGGCTTTCAGAAGGGACCTGAGCACAGTGGAGCAAGGGGAGGGGGGACTTAGAGCTCTGGGGGCATCAGCAGTCCCCCCAAGGTGACTCTTCTTGTGTCTAGTCGTAGCTGGATCCACTTCCACCCCCTCAAGTGCTTCAGGTGGGAACTGGCCAGAACGTTTGCCCCTTTTGCAGCATCAAAATAAAACAGGAGTGGGGGGCGGCGGCGGACTCTAATCTGAACCAGTTTGGTGTCGTGGTTAAGAGTGGTGGACTCTAATCTGGAGAACCAGGTTTTATTTTCTACTTCTCCTCATGCAGCCAGCTAGGTGACCTTGGGTCAGTCACAAGTTCTCTCAGAGCTGTTCTTTCAAGAGCGGTCCTCGAAAGAGCTCTCTCAGCCCCACCTACCTCACAGGCAGTGTTCCCTCTAAACAGAGTTAGTGTGAGCTAGCTCACAGTTTTTTAGTCTCCGGCTCACACATTTTTGTCTTAGCTCAGGACAGATGGCTCCAGAGCAAACTAATTGATGCAGTATCCAAATGCCCGTAGCTCACAAAGTAGAATTTTTGCTCACAAGATTCCACAGCTTAGAGGGAGCATTTGTGATGTATTGTGTCTTTAAATGACCAGTAACAGAGCACAGCACAGCACAGCACAGCACAGCTGTATCTTGTAATGGGTGAAGCATTTATTGTTAGAGTATGCTGAGTGTTAACCAAGCTGTTGCTGATTGCTGGTGCTGAGAGTGGACTCCAAATAAACTGTGTGTTGTACCTGTCTGAGGCTTCACGGCATATTCTTTCTACCCTGGCCAGAAACTACAGCATTGGTCCCAGGTTGTATGTTGTGGGGAGAGGGAGGGGAAGGGGAAGGGGAAGGAGATTGTAAACCACTCTGAGACTCCTTCGGGTAGTGAAGGGCAGGGTATAAATCCTGGTGGTGGCAGCTACAAGCATGGACAGCTTGAAGAGGGAATTGGATAAACATATGGAGCAGAGATCCATCAGTGGCTATGGCTATTAGCCACAAGGGATAGATAAAAACTCTTGGTCTGGGGCAAGTGATGAACTGTATTCTCGGTGCTTGGGGAGGCAAGCACCGAGGGCCTCTAGTGTCCTGGCCCCACTGATGGACTTCCTGATGGCACCTGGTATTTTTGGCCACTGTGCGACAGTGTTGGACTGGATAGGGCATTGGCCTGATCCAACATTGGCTTCTCTTATGTTCTTATGTATGTGGCAAGTGATGCTCTGTATTCTTGGTGCTTGGGGGGGGGGCAGTGGGAGGGCTCCTAGAGTCCTGACCCCACTGCTGGATCTTCTGATGGCACCTGGTATTTTTGGCCTCTCTGTGACAGAGCGTTGGACTGGATGGGCCATTGGCCTGATCCAACATTGGCTTATCTCATGTTCTTATTTCTGGGGCAAGGGATACTCTGTATTCTGGGTGCTGGGGGGGGGGGCAACAGGGGGAGGGCTTCTAGTTTCCTGGCCCCACTGCTGGACCTCCTGATGGCACCTGGTATTTTTGGCCACTGTTGGACTGGATGGGCCATTGGCCTGATCCACCATTGGCTTGTCTTATGTTCTTATGCATGGGGCAAGGGATGGTCTGTATTCTTGGTGCTTGGGGGGGGAACAGTGGGAGGGCTTTTAGTGTCCTGGCCCCACTGCTGGATCTCCTGATGGCACCTGGTATTTTTGGCCACTGTGGGACACAGAGTGTTGGACTGGATGGGCCATTGGCCTGATCCAACATGGGCTTCTCTTATGTTCTTATGTCTAGGGCAAGGGATGTTCTGTATTCTTGGTGCTTGGGGGGGCAACAGTGGGAGGGCGTCTAGTGTCCTGGCCCCACTGCAGGACCTCCTGAGGGCACATGGTATTTTTGGCCACTGTGTGACACAGAAGAGTGTTGGACTGGATGGGCCGTTGGCCTGATCCAACTTGGTTTCTCTCTTATGTTCTCATGTTCTTCTTTCTTCCTCCACCTTCTCCAACTGGTTCCAGCAGAAGCTTACCTGGGTCAGATCCGACGTCCTCAGATGCACGAAGACCTCTCCCATTAGGCAGGTGGGCATCGATGCCAAGCGGTGATTCCAAAAAGTTGTTTATGGGGTGGGAACTCCTCCAGAAGAATACAGCTACTGATCTCACATTTTCACAGTATTATTATTGTTGTTGTTGTTAACTTCAGTTATACCCTGACCGTTTCCCCCGTGGGGCCCCAAAGGGGCTTACATCATTCTCTTCTCCATTTTATCCTCAGAACAGCCTTGTGAGGTAGGTTAGGTGGAGAAAACATTTCTGGCCCGAGGTTACCCAGCAAGTTTGCATGGTGGAGGGGAGACTCGAACCCATGTCTCCCAGACCCTAGTCCAGTGATGGCGAACCTTTTAGAGACCGAGTGCCCAAACTGCGACCCAAAACCCACGTATTTATTGCAAAGTGCCAACACGGCAATTTAACCTGAATACTGAGGTTTTACTTTAGAAAAAACAACTCATACATTAACTTAAGATGATCCAAACAAAGTAAGGAAAGCAATCCCAAATGCTTTCATTTACTTAAAATTATTTGGCAGAGAATTCGACACTTTAACGATGGTCTGGGCCTGGCTGGGGCGATGGCACGCGTGCCCACAGAGAGGGCTCTGAGTGCCACCTCTGGCACCCGTGCCATAGGTTCGCCACCACTGGCGTAGTCCAACTACACTGGCTGTTGGACATCCTTTCTCCCCTGCAGTCTCATGGGCCACCGCTGGCCCTGCAGTGTTTCCTTGGGGGCTTGGCTTGCTAGTCTGTGCCAAGGAAGGGATGCCAGGGACCCCCCCGGCTGCTGCTGATGGGAGGGAGCCCAGCCTTGGGGTGCTTGGGGGCCCACCTCCGGAGGTTGGGGGCCTAACTCGACAGTCAGCTTTGCCCAGTGGTGTGCCTCCCTGAGACAAGCTCTGGCTGTCTTCCACGTGTGGGGCCAGTGGCAATGCTTTGTGGGGGGGTCCGGGCCACAAGGGGCAACATCGGAGTGAGCGTGGGCGCCCAGGGGCTTCCCTGATCCTTTGCGCCAAGGGTGGCTCCCAACGCAGCTCTCTGCCTGCTGCTTCCAGAAAACCGCGGACCCTCCAAGATGGCAGAAGCCCACCAGGCTGTGGCCTTCCAGTTCACAGTCACCCCCGAGGGAGTGGACTTCCAGCTGAGCTGCGAAGCCCTCAAGCAGATCTACTTGTCCGGCGTCTCCTCCTGGAAGAAACGCTTCGTCCGTCTCAAGGTGAGGAGCGGTCTTGCGTGGGACGGAGGTCTTTGCGGTACGTGGGGGTATTCGGAGCAGGCACCGTCAAGCCCTCTAAGGGCTGGGTGGGATGCCGGTGAGATGGAAAGGTCCATATTGGGTGGCCAGGACTGGGGTGGGGGGCTTTCCTGGACCCTCTCCTGAGATTCGAGTCCCACTCTTGGGGACACCACCCTAAAACTTCACCTGTGTGCCACCCACACATGAGGAGAGATCTTTCTGCAGCCTAGCTGAGACTGCTTGGGGGTGAACCAGGCCCACCCTCTGACCTGCCCCCCTGAGCTCATTGCTGCCGCCGACCCCTTGCCTCTCAAGGCCCCACACAGGCCGTGGAAAAGCCAGCATCATCCCCAACAGAAGGAGGCCACCCTTGCATGTTTTCCTGTCTCCTGCAGGAGGTGGCCTCTTCTTAGGAAGAAGAAGAGCAGGCAGGGGGGGCAGAAGAGGCCCCTGGGAGGGGCTGGGGTTCAGCAGGGCAGGTCATGGACCAGGCTGCAGAGAGGAGCCAGGGTCCAGTCCAAAGGTCAGGGGTTCCAGAGAGCAGGTTTACCAGAATCTAGTCTAGGGTCAAGGGATTCAGGAAGCAAGTCCAGTCAGGGGTTCCAGAAAAGTCGACAGTCAAGTCAGGTCCAGTCCAAGGGTCAGGGTTCCAGTGGTCTGGTAACACCAAGGTCAGTGGTTTAGCAGCAATGTGTCCTTGTTGCGTCCACGAAACTGCTGTTTCTCCCGGCTGATTTTATAGCCAAGTCTGAAGCAGCTACGCTCCCAGCCAAATCCTGAAACTACTCATCCATCTTGTTAGTTGACAGCTGACTCTCATATGAGTCTCACACGCCTCCTCCTTTCCTGCAACTCAGCTTGCCTCTGACAGTGTCGGTGCTGCAGGGGTGTGGGTGAGCTAGGTGGCCTGGGAGTGGCTTCTGAAGCCTTCTTTACTGCTTCAAATATACAAGGCACTGGCTCGGTTTCAGCTGTAGGCTGTGACTTCTGCTCAGCCGGTAACCTGACCTCTTGCTGCTCTCCTCCTGGCTCAGAGCCAGCTGCAGCCGGTTGTTCAATTACTGGTTGAGGGCCAGCTGCAGGTAGCTCTTCGCCTCTGGAATCTGTGCAGGCAGACTGAATTATGACACCGGAGGGGGGAAGGGAGAGGAGGGGAGGGGAAGAGGCGTGGGAGGCTGGGTGGAGCGGCACAAGGAGAAGAGGGCTTTCCACAGATATTCGGGGCAGCTGTGAGAGGCCTGGACCCCTCAGCCACCTGAGCCCCAGTTCTGCCATGCTTGGCCTCCCGCTGACGCATCGGCTCTCCACAGAACAGCATCTTGACGGGGGTGTATCCTGGAACCCCTTCGGGCTGGCTGGCGGTTGTCATAGCAACAGTGGGCTCCATGTACTTCCGCGTGGATGTGTCCGGGGGGCTGATCGTCTGCATCCGAGAACGCCTGCCTGACGGGTGAGTGCCTGTCCCTGTCACTGCGCCTGTCTTCTCAGTCCTTGGCACGAACAGCAGGAGATGGCTGTGCTTCCGGGGCAGATAACCGGCCCCCAAATGCCAGGATAAGAACCCCTGCTGGGTCAGACCGAAGGCCCATCAAGTCCAGCATTCATACAGTGGCCGACCGGTTGCCACCCTCCAGGAATTCGTCCCCTTAGGAGGGACCTCAGGGCTTCTTTTAATAAGCCACGGAGTGGAGAGCTGCCTTCAGGGAGGAGGATTCCTGCCCTGGCCTGTCTTTGTGAAGCTTTCAGTCCCAGCCAAACCGACAACTTCCCCTTCCCTTACCAAAACGTCTCGGCAAACTTTTCAAAGTTAGCAGTGTCATAGAACCATAGAGTTGGAAGGGACCTCCAGGGTCATCTAGTCCAACCCCCTGCACAATGCAGGAAATTCACAAATACCTCCCCCCCACACACCCTCAGTGACCTTTGTTCCACGCCCAGAAGATGACAAAAAAACCCCAACACCCCTCCAGGATTGCTTCCTGACTCCAAAGTGGCCATCCGCATTTCCCTGGGCGTGTAAAAAAGGGCTAGGAGAACTAAGCACTGAAGTTAGTCGATGTAACTAACGTAAGAGCCACACAGAATAAACGTCAGATGTTTGAGAGCTGCAAGAAATGAACAAATATTACATGTTTTTACTGGGAAATATGCAAATTTGCTTTTTATTAACATTAAATGAGACTGCCAAAAAAATAACAAAAGTAGTAAAAGCAGATATTGATAATGGTATTTGTTTGTCCAATGATATGTAGCTTCCCCCGCCGCCCTGCTGGGAGCCACACAATAGGTGTGAAAGAGCCACATGCGGCTCCCGAGCCACAGTTTGGCCACCCCTGTTCTTAACTAAGTTGGTCAATACAATAACAGGCTACACATAATGAGAAGGTCAGGTTTGATTCAGATAGAAGGATGCACTTAGGAAGCCGTTGACTTCTGGTTTGCTTTTCAATATCAGATCTTTCCTCTCCTTGCAAGAGGTACAGCCCAGCAACATTTTTTCATTTGTTTTGGCTCTAGGACACAAGTACAAATATTACTGAACAAATATTACTTGCCTCCATTTTGTATTTTTATTAAAACAAAGTCATTTACACCTTTAACATAGACTGACTTCAAAGAATACGATAACACCTTCCATTGACCTTATGCAGATAATTTAAGGAGAGATATTGAGTACATTGGGGCTGTGGTGGTTCAGAGGTTAAGACACTGAGCTGCAGACCGGAAGGTCTGTAGGTCGGCAGTTTGAGACCCAAGTGCCGCATGATGGAGTGAGCTCCCGTCTCTGACCCCAGCTCCTGCCAACCTAGCAGTTCGAAAGCAAGAAATTGCAAGTAGATAAATAGGTACCACTTCGGTGGGAAGGTAACAGCGCTCTGTGCGCCTCGGTGTCTAGTCATGCCGGCCACATGACCACGGAAAACGTCTTCGGACAGCGCTGGCTCTTCGGCTTGGAAGCAAAGATGAGCACCGCATCCCTAGAGTCGGATTCGACCGGCTTTCGAGCAAGGGAAACCTTTACCTTTACTAGTGAGTCCATTCATTATGGCTTAACAAAAGTAAGCAGATGACAAACAGCAGAGCAGTTTTCAAGATCTGTTCTGTTTCGGAGGGCAGTCGTGTGTGTCTGCAGGAGGAGAGCCGGATTCCAGTCCATGAGCACATGAGAGGCTAGAAAGATGGGGGGGGAGGTGGGGGTTGCAGGCTTTTGAGAGCCAGAGCTTCTCTGACCAAAGGGCAACTGACCAAAGGGGAGTTCTGACTCTTGAATACTGATGCCCAAAAATCAGATCTATTCATTTCCCATCTTTCTACGGTTTCAAAACCATCCTCCAACAATGAGTGTCTGTCCCACTGGATAAGGCTAATGGTTGGCTAATGATCTTCAGATGTGATATGAAATTAGCTATAAAATATCTCCTTAAAATATATAAAAGTTGTGTTATTCTTGCAAATATGTGGGTCAGCGGCTAAGGCGGCAGTGCCCCCGGGGTGCCCTTGTGCCAGTCCTGCCTGCCAGGGGGTCCCTGTCTCCTGCCCACCTGCCACCATGGCTGGGGGCATTTTCACACACCCCCTCTGGGGCCAGCTGGGTGTCCGGCGGATGTGGGGGAGATGTCGGGGCCCCTCCCCGGTTCCCCCACGGAGCCCAGCCTCAGGGCCTTCCCGTCTCCCGCTGCAGCTGCTACTTGAGCCTCCGCACCCGCACCCTGCTGAGCGCCATCCTCTTCTCCACCGGCGTCTGGGTCTCGGGGGTCCTGCTCTGCCGGCAGACCCTCAAGCTGTTTCTCTCCCACCACGGATGGATGTTTGAGCCTCACGGCCGGACCAGCCGCACCACCAAGATCTGGGCGGTGAGTCGTTTGGGTGTGAGGGCGGGGGGAGGGCGCAGAAGAGGGGCTGGGGGCTGGATGGGGGGGGAACTCTGCCAGACTGTCCGTTGCTCTCTGTGGGGGCCTGTCTAGAAGTCACGGTTTCCCTTGTGTCCTCTCCAGACTCTGCTCCAGTTCCGTGTGTCGAATTCAGTTCCCAGACACATGGGGTTGATCTGGATCAGGACCACGGAAACAGGAAGGGGGGGGGCCTCAAGCTTTCCTCTGCACAGTTTTCCTGATTTAAAATGGTCCTGGGGGAGAGTTGCCACCCTCCAGGTGGGGCCTAAAGATCCCCCAGAATTACAACTGATCCCCCCAGGCGATAGAGATCAGTTCCCCTGGAGGAAATGGCTGCTTTGGAGGGTGCGCCCCGTGGCAGTGCAACATGCCATGGTTCCCCCCCTCCTCCCCAAACCCCAATCTCCCCCAGGTTCCACCCCCCCCAAATCTCCAGGTATTTCCCGACCCAGAGCTGGTGACTGAACCCTGAGGGGGGTGCCCTTTCTCTACTGGGGAAACCGAAGTGCAGCCCGTCAGAACATGTGGTGGGCCAGGGTTCCCTCTAAGCTGCGTTACTGTGAGCTAGGTAGTTTAGTTAGGTTCTATCTCTCTCACACACCTTTACTATCTAGAATGGAGTTCCCTAAATAAAGGACTCTTTTATTAGTTTGAAACTGACAAGGGGCTCTATGCAACTCTGGCTGTGATCACACACATTAAAGAATCCCCTTTCGATCCGCTGTCAATCCATTTTCGAATTGGATTTTATTATTTATTTATTTATTTGGATTTATATCCCGCCCTCCCCGAAGGCTCAGGGTGGCTAACAGAGGCATTATGCCAGGTTATAACAATAAAACAGTATAAAATACTAAAAATACAAAATAGACAATTAAATAGGATTCATAAAAAGACATTTTGCCAGTTCACACAGTGAAATCCAGTTGGAAAGTGCGTTGAAAATGGATTGAAAGTGGATTACTTAGTGTGTGTGATCGCAGCCTCTGTAATTTTGCACAACGAGAGGTTTGCTGCGTATAGCCTGTTTGTGCACTATTGATTGATTGATTTGATTTGATTTGTATCTCGCCCTCCCTGCCGAGGCAGGCTCAGGGCGGCTTACACACAATATGTTAAAACAGCTAAAACACTCGGCTACAATAGAATATAGATGGAATACAGATTACTGGCTTGCTATACCAGTGAATCTATCTGTCACCTTCAAAGTCTGCCTTTCCTCCCTCCCCCCCCACCCCCGCTTTGCTGCAGGCCGCGGTGAAAGTGCTGTCCGGTCGCAAGCCCATGCTGTACAGCCTCCAGACCTCGCTGCCCAAGCTGCCAGTGCCCAAGGTGAAGGACACCATTCAGAGGGTGAGTGGAGGGCTGGGCACGCTGCTGCTGCTGCTGCTGGGTGAGCGGTGGTGGAGCTGGGAAGGCTTGCCATCTTCCAGGCAGTGGCTGGAGATATCCTGGGATTACAAAATCAGGGATTTATGACTAAGGGGGGGACATGATAGAGGCTTATAAAATTAGGCATGGGGTGGAGAGAGAGTGGACCAAGAGAACTTTTCCTCCCTCTCCCTAAACAGTAGAACTTGAGAGCATCCAATGAAGCTGATGGGCAGTAGGTTCAGGATGCACGAAAGGAAATACCACTCGATGTGGAGAGCGATTAAAATGCTGAATTCGCTGCCAGAGGATGTAATGATGGTCACAAGAGGGAAAAAAAGTTTTCAAAGGGGATATGGAGGAGCATCAAGTCTGTCTGTGGCTACAAGCCATGGTGACTGAGGGGAACCTCCACGTTCAGAGGCCCGAAGGCTTGGAATCCCAGAGCCAGGAGGCAACATCAGGGGAAGGTCTTGGCCTCTCTGCTCTGTTGCTGGTCCCCTAAAGGAACAGGTTGGCCACTGAGTGAGACAGGATGCAGGACTAGATGGACCCCTGGTCTGATTCAGCAGAGCCCTTCTTATGTTCTTAACCAGGGGTGGCCCAACTTGTTTAACGTAAGAGCCACATAGAATAAGTGTCAGATGTTTGAGAGCCACAAGACATGAACAAATATTACATGTTTTTACTGGGAAATACGCAAGTTTGCTTTTTATTAACATTAAATGAGACTGCCAAAAATAATAACAAAAGCGGTATTGATAATGGTATTTGTTTGTCCAATGATATTTCGCTGCCGCCGCTGCCCTGCCGGGAGCCACACAATAGGTGTGAAAGAGCCGCATGCGGCTCCCGAGCCGCAGTTTGGCCACCCCTGTTCTTAACGCTTCTCCAGATTACAGAGATCCATTCCCCTGGAGAAAATGGCCTCTTTGGAAGGTGGACTCCGTGGCATGATACTCCATGATTAGAAGGTGGGCTCTGTGGCATGATCCTCCATGCCACAGAGACCCAGTTTGGTGTAGTGGTTGAGTGCGTGGACTCTGATCTGGGAGAACTGGCTTTGATTCCCCACTCCTCCTCCGCTTGCACCTGGCTGGATGGCCTTGGGCAAGCTGTAGCTCTGACAAGAGCTGTCCTTGAAAAAGAGCCAGTTTCTGTCAAGAGCTCTCTCAGCAGCCCCACCTACACCTCACAGGAGGTGTCTGTCTGTTGTGGGGAGGGGAAGGGATGGGAGTTTGTAAGCCGCTCTGAGACTCCCTTGGGTAGTGAAGGGCCATGGGGTATAAATCCAATCTCCTCCTCCTCCTCCTCCTCCTCCTCCACTACTCCTCCTCCTCCATCTCTCTCTTGCCT